CTACCGCAGATAACATTAATCATAATGATAAATACGTAGCGATTAGAAAAGAACTTCTGAGAATAAAGAATGAAACTTAAAATTAAGTCGAAAAAAATTTATCGGCAAATGTAAACGTATTTGGGGGAATATTAATTAAAAATCTTTCAAATATACCTAATTCACTCGCGTGGAATAATATCATCATAAGTATATGATATCAGTCAAGAATTTCAAGCAAAAACGCGCGTTACGTCCCAGTAAACAAACTGACGTTATTTACCGTTATTTTGACATTGCAAATAACATCATCGTTGACATTAAAATGACGGCAAGCAACAGTTGTATTACAAATTTATTGTCGGCACTAAAAATTTTTAGTTTGCATTACGTATACAATAGATTTTTCAGCATCGGCAATTAATTTCGGAACACATTCATCATCAGCTTGTTTGCTAAGGTCTGTCGTCTAGTAGTAAATTATTAGCATAATGTTGACTCAAATATTGGCTCAATATATCCCAATGTTTAACCAATGTATCGCAAATAAATCGCTAATAGCTCTTCCAGACAAACTTGATATATTATTATATATGCATGAAGAAAATCATCCAGTTGCATTTCTATTGTAAAGACGCATGAAAAATGCAATTGGATAATTTTCTTTACGTGTATTATTTATACTGCTACACGTTTATCTGGATGGACGTTCGATCAAAGTAATCGCACACATTGACAGTTTCATACACCATGCGAAATTTTTTGCATACCTGTCTCCATACATTCTTAGCTAGCCACATAACACCTTTCTGCAACAGTTGCTCTATCATGTACCAGATCATAATAGACTTTGGCGAAGAACTGCGAGCAGAAGAAGAACGTTTCGACAAATAATGGACAGGCCATGAATATATAATATGGTACTTGACGACAAACATATAGAAACGAATGAAACCAGACGCGATAACTGACGGGATGGATAATTCGTAGGTGGCACCACACCGCGAGTGTCGTTTGAACGAAAACAGTACGAGTATTGTTATCATTTTTGTTTACAATGTTCCTCGCATCATCCAACGATGATCATTCGACGAGCCACGTGAATTTGGGATAACAAAGGAACGCGCAAAAATCCCGAAGATACGTCCCGAAAGATACGTAATGATGGTTTTATATAGTTTTAACGGGATCGCGCAATACTGTGATTCAGGGAAAACATTGGATATGTAGCGAAACAGTATTTTGAACAAACAGCCATTCTTTTATGTATAGTGTAGCAGAACAGCCGCGTTAAGCAGATAAAATTGATTAATGAGCGAGAGTAATTCTTTATTATCATTGGTTCTTATACTTGTAAGGAATTCAGACGCTCTATCGCGCGTATTAAAACCGTTGTAATTTAATTTATTAAAAAATGCAAATAGTTTAAATTATAAAACACAATTTACTTAACAACACAATATAATATATTGAATATTTCATAATTTAATCTAGTTTTATATTTCTATCAAACACTTTTTTTTTATGCGCACTGAATGCAACCAATTGAATTCGCTATTAGATTCAGTGAAAAACTAAAGGCAAGACTATATATATATATATATAAATCATATTAAAGAATCACTGAGCGCTAACAGATTAACTTTTTTCTGCTGAACGCAACCATTAATTTCTCACTGCACTCATCACGGATTTGAAACTAGTCAGAAGAGCCACTTATTGTTAACAATAGTACGTTTTTACCTGAGTTACTACACCGAATGAGATGTACTTTGATTGGTCATGGGAAAAGTAGTTTGCTGCCGTCGTCGCGATCGCACCTTCCGGGATCGTCCATAGTTCTCTACAGGTGTTCTGTAACAAAAACGTATTCGAATTGAACTAGACAGCTATATTTAGGCCTTTTTTTAATTGATTCTTTACATGGTTCGTATTTTCTTTTTTTTTTTTCTCTAACGTGGATGGAAAAGAAAGAAAAACAAACCGTGCAAGAAATTCAGCTAAAAAGAGCAAGCCTTTTGTTAGAGGCCTGTTCTTTTTAGCTGTACTTCTTGCATGATCCATTTTTTCTCTCTTTTCTCCCTGTTGGAGAAAGAAAGAGAAAAGATTAACGATGCAAGAAGTTCAATTAAAAAGAATAAATCTAATACATTGCGATAAACCACTTTGATATTATGATTAAATTTTGCAGCGAATGAAAGATGCTGTGTAACTTTAGATCTGTTTTTATTCTTGCGTTCTCTGAACTGGTGCACCCGATGCGGTAAGTTGAAACAAAGTATATTTATTTCACTTCAACTTATCGCATCGTGTGCGCTTCAGAGAGTGCGGGAATAAAAAAACACCTCTAATCGGATTCAGTTATCAGATAGTTATTCCACTAAATAAAGCATATAAATTTTGCAAAAAAAAGATATATATACATACTAACATACAGATTGATTCGCACAAATTAATATGTTCCCTTTACTGCCAGACTGTATATTATAAATAACATACAAGAAAGAGAAGTATTTTGTAGGAGATGCGATTTAAGATATATGTTAAATTTTACCGCTACTGCCATTTACATGGAAAAATTACACGCGATTTCGCAAAAGGTATATTAATCTTCATGCAGTCGACAGAACGTCGATATCAGTACGAGCGCTAGCTCGATCGTCTCGAGACCACGTGACACCCTAGGCTTGCGCCAAAACATAACGTATAGCTTATTATAAGCTTACGCAGCACATTGGTATAATAAACGAAATTACAATTGATTTACATCGATCAATCTGAGTTAACTGAATTCTCGGTTAATCATCGTTCCTTTTCAAGCTACAGCCCCATATGTGCAGCAGCAGAAGAGGTTTAACTGAAAGGGTGGGGGATAGATCTGCGGAGATGACGTCGTAACCCAAAAGGGGTAGGCAGACGTGCGCCGACTACCTGCACGGTGAGACACGGTCGACTGACACGACCGGTCCAAACTGTCAAGCAACGGGGCATGTCACGAACACTCCTCGAGGATAGCCTGAGGAGGGAACGCAGCGCGGTACTTGCACACATCACAATCGCGCGCGTGATACTCACCAGGAATATTTGCTGTAGGTAGTGCACCCCGTCGTCGGGGTGCGCTTGCGCCGTCGTGGTGGAGCTCACCCCGAGTACGACATGCGGACACTTAGATGTTGGGTGAAGGTCAACACCAGGTGGCCCAACGGGAATTTTGGTATCCATTGTTTTGGTATCTACACGAGTCGTCCCAAGTCCTAAAACAGTCTTTATCCGGGAGGGAGAGGGAGGAACAATATTCGTTGCATGAGATATTGCACCGCTATGGTCTCGCTATAGAAAATTATAATAGATCACGCGGGCTTACAGATCGAAAAGTATCTGCGGACTGGAACGTGTCCCCGACGGCAGCGGCCGCGACAAGTCGCCGACGAAGACCTGTGTCACGTTCCTGTCGCTCTTTTGGATTTTGAGTGACTCTGACGTATGACGCAAGAACAAGCTACAGTCAATTTTCACGCGCACTCTCGCTGGCAAATTCGGATTGATTGTATTAGTTACACACTGAAAGAAACTAAATTTTAATAAATATTTGTTCGAATATGCTAAGTAAATACTCACTAAATGTAAATATATATTTATTCGATACGAAGACTATTAATTTGATTTAACTACCATTTTTTATTGATTAAATATTTGTTTATTGTAGATAAATATTTAAAGAAATATGTATATGATTTAAAGTCTATCTTTTATTCTTGCACTCTGAACTGGTGCACACGATGCAATAAGTCGAAGTGAAACAAATATGCGTTCGGTTTACTTCAACTTTCTGCATCGTGTGTATTAGTTCAGAGAATTTAGGAATCAAAGACAAAGATGTTTAATAAATTTTTTTTTAGTATATGATACAGAGGATAGATAGAGTATTGCATTAAAAAGGTATAAAAATATATATTTTACGACGGACATTATATATAGATAAAATGTCTGTGTGATTTTCTTCTTTTTCGATAATATTTCATCTTCTGTGAGATGCAATATCACGTTTTGAAAGCAATATGCAATTCAAACCTCTCGCTTTCATCTTTGGAAAGGATTTCCATGTTCATTAAGACATTTTTTAATGCAAATTCACGTCGATGACGAATAATGTTCTTCAAGTTTCCCTTCGATTTGTTTTATTTCCAGCACAATAGTTTTTATATGATTTAACTGCAAGGACGAAAGCAATGTTCGTCGATGCAAGTCGATAAAGCTTGAAATAGTATGTATATTTTGCATGATGTATGAGCGGTAGGAATAGGGGAAACGATATCCAGCATAACTCAAAAACACCCAACCACCGAAATTGTGTCAATAGGTCACGCGTGGAAGATCTATATAGGACGTTCAGGGGTTGCACGCCAACTGTGTGTCCTCTGTTTAAAATTCTTATACTAGCTGTTTAAAGCACCATCATATTGATGCCCCTCGTTAACTAAGAAAAAAAAATGATATTGATTAAAAATATACAATTTCCACCCATTAAATTGCATAAATATAACAAAAAGTATATAATCAGCTATGATTAAAATCATATTCTATTTCAAAATAAATAAACAACACCAAATAATAACAAATTTTTCCAAGATGTTTCATGACACGTATTACTTGCGTCATTAATAATTTTGTTAATAAAACGAGCAATAAGAAAATCGAGGAAACGGAATAACGATGTCCGGGGTATGAAACTAACGTAATTAAGTTTTCGACTCAAGTCATAAATAGTTACGACCCACTGGGTTTAGTCAAGAAACTCAAGTAGGAGCATCTGTGACATCGAGCTGTAAGATCCAGCGAGATCGCGCACGATGAGGTTTCCTCCTAACCGCCCCGTCCGTGTGATGGGATCGATGCGGTTGCCGTGGCGACGGAACCGTCAGAGAGGCCGAATCGCTTGCGGATGACGGTTGCTGCTGGCGAGCGGGCGGACGGGTGGACGGGGGTATCAGCGGCGCGCACGACGATGCAGTGGCGACGTCGCCGCCGTTGAGAGCTCGCGCACGGCTCTCGGAGGCGATCTCCTGCCTCTCGTCCGCTGGCCGGACCGATCCCTCTTCCTCGAGGCAGCGGGCACCGCGCGTTCGTCGTTGCACGACGCTGTTCCGGGACGACGAGCGACCGCGCCATGCGGCGGCGGTGTCGGGCTCGTCGCACCAGGACACCGACACGTACGGAGCGCGGCGTCAGGACGACAAGAGGATGCCCGACGGCGCCGAGACGCCGCATCCGGAGGAGACGTCGGCCAAGGTCCTGCTGCTGCGACGATGGAGCGATATGCCGCGGCACCTTCAATTCAATCCCCACATCCTCACCGGCTACAGACCGCTCATGACCATCCGCCAGTGCCTCGGTAGCCTTTTCTACATCCACAACGAGACCGTCAACATCCTGACGCACGGTGAGATCACACACTTTGCGATTATAAATGCAATGTGATTAGAATGAAAATGTTGAATGGCGAACTTGTTTTTCTTTTCTTAACGTACTACTGCAGTTTTCATCCTGCAATTTTTTCCTGTGTCGCACGACGAATTCTTTCAGAGTTGCCTGCACGATTGGTAGATTGCATACCAAAGTTACAGAGAGAAAGATTTTAATTTGTTAACTTTGTAATTATACTTTATAAAGAATTTTATTTTTATTTTTCTAAGTGTTTTGAATTTTTTTTAATTTAATTCTAGAATAGAGAGTTTATATGCTCTGGAATTAGATGCTTAGAAACATGAAAGAAAATTATTCACTCGATAATCAAATTTTCGCCTCCAAAATGGAGCATTATTTGTTGAACTTTTTAACAAATTTAATGTTATATATAATATGATAAAGTACGCGAGAGAAATTTTTTTGTTCGGAAGAGATTTTCTCTCTCTCTTTCTTACATGTTTAGACAAATACGAGTAATAAATAGTCTCATAAGAAATTTGATAATGAATCCTTAAATATGGATTAGTTCCAAGTTGGATTAATTCCAAGTTCGAATTACTTAAATTTCACTTTTTCTACTTTGATGAAAAGAAAGAGAAGGAAAGAGAGATGACATGCTGCAAAATAAAATAAAATTAAATCAAATGCAAAATTATTTGAAACTTTGCAAAACAAAATTGAATCCTGAAATATGGTAGCTATCGTTATTCTTTACGCGATCAACTGTATTCCATCCAAAGAATACGAAGTTACATCACGTAAAAGGTTTGCCATTCTCGTGATTGGATTAACTGGAAAAGTAGATTAAGTCCCTTAAGGGCTTTAAAGTCAAAGTATATATTATCAAGGTCAACTTCCGTGAAAACATCGCGCTCAACGAAGACGCATTGCAGGGTAACGAACGATCGATGAAAGCGAACCCATACGATATTCCTTCTCTGTTAAAGCTGATTCATTGATAAATTTCTAATCGCACCGAATGTCAATCAAATACATTCTAAACATCCGCAAACAGTTTATCAGTTTATAAGTACTATATAATAAACCACGATGGTGCGGTGTGTATACAAACGCATTCGAAATCGCAATGCTTTTATAGAGAGACTAAAGAGCTTTTCTTTCCGTCGCTCCTTAAAATTAAGATAAATTATCCTTAATTATACCTTTTCTTCTTTCGTTTAAAGGAGAAACTAAGAAAGTCATTCGAATGTTCTGTTTTTGATAGACTATTATTCTGTGCAGCTATAAATCTCATGTATCGACCGATGTATGAAAAGAAATTTTAGTAGGTCAGAACTATCCATGTGAAAGAGAACTCATTAATATATTATTACTTAAAATCATTTTTTCAAAAAAACTAAACTATGTTATGAGTTCCTCTACACTCGTCAGTTTTTTCTGTTAACGTTTCTCGATCAGTCCTTACTATCAACGTAATAGCAATCAAATCATTACTTCTCCGAGGTAAAGAATAACTGAAAAATTAAGAAACTTGTTAAGAAATTATAAAAAGTTTGCTCCTGACAAACAGTATACACTTTTTTAATGAAAATTATCAACGTCTTTTTAACAAATAAGATACAATTATTGAGTTTATCGGAAGAAGAATTTATAAAGAAGAAATTATCGCAGTCTCACGATTTATAATATCATTTTCTATAACGATAAAGAAGGCATCCTGTATGAGCGACGTGTGCTTACAGGATTTGCTATCCTGTACATGTTGGTGACTGTACCACATCTACTTCCATGGAATACAAAAGGGACACTCGTGGGATTTCTCTCCTGGTGCCATTTGATCGGTGCAGTTAGTCCGTGGATTGGATCCTTCCTATACCATCTCTTCATGAACGTAAACTACGACGAAGTTTTCTACAGAACACTGCTGAAAGTCGACATGATTGGCATATGGCTGTGCCAGAGTTTTGGTGTGTGATTTAATTGTAAAGTCCAATCTATAATGTGTTTTTTGTTTCTTGCTTTTCATTATTTTTTTATATGCTTTTTGCCTCTTACTTAATTTCTTCATTTTTTTTGTCACCCGAGATAAAAAAGTTGGTGAACATCGAAATAAGAGACAATAAGAAACACGTGAAAAGAAACGCGATTGTCGATAAAACAATTTCGTTACAAAGAAGGAAAAAGACGTGAAGTGGTTGTGGTAAAAAGCAAGTAACAGGAAGCAAAGAACTTATTGTACATTAGGCTTTAATGACTTTTTAGAAAAAATGTGCTAAAAAAACAGATATATATATAACTGTAGCTAAAAAAATTTGCAAGATTTTATTTTACAAACGACTCTCTCATTTCAAATGGATCTTCCAAATTGTTTTTTGATCGATTTGCTTCAAATGAAGAAAGTTTTAGATCAGAAAGTGCAAACTAGAGAACAGTTCGTATAATAAACGCTTCTCTATTTCACGCACGATTATTTCAGGAGCTATACCGATGATGGCAGCGGCTGTTCATTGCCTTACGGATAATGTTTGGTATTGCTGCATTTTTATTTATTGCTCTCTTAGTGTGTGGGGACTTTTAAAGGTATTTTTTAGCTCATATCTGATTCAACGACGCTTCGTAGCGATAAAACATTTAAACATTAATGTGATTCATAGGCAATGACCGCTAAATCACCCTGGGAAAGGCGTTTATGTTTTGCCCCTCCCTTCCTGATGAGAATGCTGATCATGACGTTGAGGTGTTTTGGTATTGGTGGCGGATCACCCGAGGCTCTTACTCATATAATATTACAGGTGCATTTTGAATATAATTCCAGATAACCACGTATTCTAAATATTAGAGGTAATGCTGATGTAGAAATAATTTCCAGGATTTCATAGCTGTGATAGGTGCAACCATTGGCGCTCTTCGCATTCCAGAGAAATGGATTCCCGGCCGATTGGATTTAGTGCTGAATTCCCATAATGTGATGCATGTAATGGTCGTCCTAGCGGTATGTTCAATGCACACCGCAACCTTAAAGGATCTTGCCTGGATATCCGATCCGTCTACATGCAATAAAACAAGCTCTCTTCCTTCGGGTCGCGAAGAATTGTGATTGAATCATGAAGAACGCGACGGCTTGCTGCAGTCTGTGATAAACCGAGCCTATAACAACTGGCGATTAGTCGAGCGTTTCGACATTTGGAGACCAGAAAGTGCTGAATTCTATAATATAAATTTAAGGATATTGAAAAAATATATATATATACATATTATATATATATATATTACACAGAGTTTATATAATACAGAGTTATTTAATTTATGTGATTATTACGGGACGGTTTAGGTACAATCACGAGTACAAAGTACATATGGTTACTTATCATATCGAATGCTTAACAGTAATAGGAAATTTGTGGAGTTTTTCTGCAAACACACAAATAAGCAAGGTAAAATTGGAAAGTGTATGACAAGTATGATGCGAGAAAGAAATAATGTTTGTTAAAAGACATAAATATTTTGTTTTACAATTTATTTTCGGCAATATAATTGAAAAGAAATATTGTTCATACATCTTTCCAATTTAATAAAATTGATACTATTTTGTATCAAAAGTGTAATCTTCCTTATTGAGTGAAGACATATGTTACTTAAAAGATATTCAAAATTAATTTGTACACATTTTACAGATTTTAAATTCTTTTTTTACTTTTCTTTTAACATTATAACATTATTTTGTAATTTTTATGATTAAATTATATTGTTATCAAAGAAATCTAACAATGAAAAAAATCTATATCTTTTTTCTCATAAAAGAAAACACACAGGATAAAAATTCAAATATTAACAACGAATTTTACGCAAAATTATTATATTTATCAATTTTCCGTATTCAATTCGCTTATTTTTTATATGGTTACCTGAAGAACATATAAATTTATATTGAAAAAAGTTAGGAATTTACTAGAGTCAATTGTATGTACTTTATTATATAACATATAGTGAGAGAAAAAAATTAAAGGATGGCCTGGAAAGCAATACAAGCACATCAATATGTTGTGACGCAATAACCTAGAGTTCAGCAGTTTACACAGGTCCATGGTCAAAAACCTAATCGTATTTGACAGCATAAATTGATTCATATTGAGTATACAAATGATTAAAAGCTATTTTAAATTTACAGCTATTTTACTAATCAAACATTAACTGTGTTGAGGATAAATTAATTTTTTGAATTCAGACGAGAACATAGCAATAAAACTAAACTAATTTATTTCTCGAATTGTAACGATAAAAACTTGTGATCATGTCTAAAGTTGACTATATTTGAAACAAAATTTCAGAAATTATTTAAATATACGGAAAAATTATATTCGAAAAAGGTTAAAAATCCTTGGACTATGTAGACTTCGATCAGAGATATTAATATACATATTCTGAACGTCCATTTCTTTAAATCAGTTACGCTTTATAATACATACAAAGATGAAATTATTTCAATACATATATCAGTGGATGCTGGTTCAATTCCACTATAGTAAGATAATTCGTTGTTCAGATGATACTGAACTGATAATAAAATTATTCTAAAGATCAGCTAATTCTATTTCTCCAATCAGAAATAGGAAAAGTAGAAATGTAAATTTCGATTTAGATGAGTAATTCATATTATAATATACATAGCTAATTGATATACACAGTAAAAATCGGTTACAAATTTACGTAAAGATTTTATGTAAAGGTTATTTAGTAGAAAAAAAGAGCAATTGATAGCAATACAGAGTACGAATATACATTCCACATGTCCCGCAAGAGTTGATATATTGTATTTTGTATCACACAAGTATACGTCGTTATATTCTCATTGCATAAATAAGACCATACAATATTTCAGTGCTTGCTATTTTTTATTATATATAATTATACAAAATTATACACAATTTAAAAAATTTACATAAATTTTATTCAATCAACACATTTTTTAAACTTAAATATAGCTGAGCAATAATTAATTGATAAACAAAACTATGTAATTACATTCTTCAGTACATTGTTAAGTTCTGAAGTATGCAACTCATTGCGATGTAAGGCACTATATAATCTAGTGCTTAAATAATTATATTAGATCTGTATAAATAAATTATACACTTCCATGAGATTGGATGTGTTATCGTCGTAATTAATTCTTTAAAGAATAGTTGTGATTTGCAGGTTGTACAATATACAATAGGAAACTGTTATAATAGAATACAACACGTGATACAAGATAAATAAAATATCTTGAAAAAGTATGTATACGTACTTAATATGATTCAAAGAAAAATACACTTAATTACATTCATCTTTGTTTTTGATTTTGTAACGTATTGAGAATTCACTACATACACTATTTTCCTTCTTTTGTAAGAATAATTCAATAATTGTACTCTCATGAATCATATGATTTGTTTGTAGTTAGTTCATAACTATAATGGGATTTCACTCTCCTGAGTATAACTTTTTACCCTGCTGAATTTGAGAGGTGGATATCTGCCACCAATTGGCGACGCCCTAAATTCCCTTACAGATGGTTCCTTTAGACAAATCTTCGCTTCCTGTCCATTTTTATATTTTGTGAAAATACTGTAGCTGATCCATTTTAATTGCGAGTTTACTCTTCTATGATGATTCTGTATTTCAAATTCCTACGATTACATGTATGGGAAAATGTATTAACTGATTTTTGAGAGAGAGAGATACATAATATTCAATTCCAGATATATTTATTACTTACAATATGGAACGTTTGTTCGCCACTATCATGCACCGGTTCTCTTTTCTTCCTTCTATAGAAATTGACTCCCTTAGTTTCTTGTCTTTTCAACACAAGTGTAACATAATTATCGTGTAATCGAAAATGACCAATAAGAACTGATGGATTGCGTGGTATGCGATTTCGTAAGGAATTTACACAGATTTGAGCTTCCTCAGTCGATGTCAACATTAAAACTCTTCCTTCAGGAAAAAATCTAAGTGCAAAAAGATGTGAAATTTTTTATTTTAAATGTTATAATATAGTAGTAAGAAAATAGGATTTTTGCAGATATTACAGTAATCTTTTTGTATACCTCAGGTACCGGAAATATTCAACGAGATGCCATGGTCTGTAAAAACGATCTTGGAAATTATTTTCTCCATCGCGTATGTAACTTGTTTTATTTATGTAACATCCGTTGTATCTTAATCTAGGCCGTTGCAAGTACATATCCCTCCACGATTTGTATTTTGGTTCGCAAGTACCACAGTTTACACCCCACACTCTATTAAAAACAAATCCAATTACAACCTATAATCGCGCTAATATTTCTCATCGATATTTACCTGACGCACGCTAGTCGCCAGATCTCTGTGTCTCGTGCAGATATGTAAAATCCGCGACATACTCTTGAAAACATTTCTAATGATCGAAAATCCAGTTCGGATGATACAACCCATCTTAGAATATAAAGCACTATCTCCATAGGTAATGCAGAGATATGTGTTGTCTGAAATATATAAGAAAATGTCGAATATATAGAATATGGCATATTTCAATTACAACTCTGTATAAATATATGGTATCTTTACGACACAAATTATTACAACATAAATTAAAAATAAGATACTTACACTTTGTTCGAATTTTGGGAAACATACACATTGATTGCGGTTTACAATTTTGGACAACTTTAAAAATAAGTCAGTTTCTTCTTCATCAACTTCATTATGATTTTCACTGTCGTTGGTAGTAGAAAAATCATTGTCTAACGTATCAAAACAGTCATCAGTATCGAATCTGTCTCTTGCTTTTGCTTTTGTTGATTCATACAAACGCAGTTCAATATCAGGAACTAATTGTACCGCACGCTTATAAAACTGAATTGCCTCGTAAAACTTTCTGCTTTGCTCATGTTCAATGCCTTTAAGAAATAAATTCTTTGCCTAAAACAAGAAATATTTGTATAGAAACTATAGAAATAGAACTTATAAGAATTCGAAATTTATTTCAACAATAATTATTATACCTTGTTTTCGATAGAAGCTTCATCATTTGTGACTTCAATGTTAGGCTGATTTGGTGAATACATTTTCGATGCATCACGTTTAGGTGATATCGTCAACTCGCGTTGCCATTGTTCCCTGAAAGATGTTAAGGTATTCTCAATGTTCGTTTCTTCTTGCAAAGAAGACGCCTCCTGATCATCGCCTTCATCCGTATCATTGCTAGAATCACTGCAGTGGTTCTGTCAACACATAAAGCAATAAGTATTTAGATGCTGACTTCAATTATATGAATTTATTTTAACATATATACATGTAATAAAGATTTTGTAGAATACAATTTTTATGTAAGTCAACTGCATGAAACACTTAAAAGTATCAAATGATAGATACACACATAGGTACATATTATATAAAATAAAAATGTTTTCTCTGAACATAATTAGTAAACACAAGTGTATGCATCTATATAAAGTAGATCTAAGACATTTACATAAAATTAATATTATATAAATAAACTCGAAAAACATGAAAAGCAAATAATCAATGTACATATAATTACAAGAAATGCGACATAAAGCTTTCATAAAAAAAAAAAGATTATCCTTTAAAATAAGGTAAAAAAAAATTGGAAAACTAATTATATGTTACAGTACTAAAATTAAGACATTTATAAAAAGCATGGTCAATCAACGTGATTTCCGAGAGACTCATTCGACGAAATGACGCAACATATTGCGGAACGGTATCGGCTGTCCGGTCAGAGGTTAGCCCGCCACCAATTATTTCGGCATTCGATTACGTGCCTACCTCGAGACGACAGTGAAGGACAATTACGTTCTCACGTACCATTTTTTCTTCCTATTCAATCTCGACGGCTTTCTTCCCTCAGCGCATGTACTCTCGGTCGGAAAAGCGCACGACACAGCGAAAGCACAATTTCGCCAATAGTATCGCCGCCATGGTTCTCGCCTTTCTACGTTTCTCATCGAGGAAGGCGAAGGTCGTTGCGCGACCGACGTGCGTACCGTTCGATGCGGCTTCGACATGTAAATATATAATTGCATTGTGTCGTATGTATATGTTCCACTGCAATCCATAATTAATCATTGTGCTCGTAGCAAAAGTTGTTTGTCACAAAAATAACGTTCGCTGAGTTTTAAATATACTTTATGTCTATATTTCTGCCGAGATAAAATTAATATAGATTAATTTCATCTC